ACACACAGAGATTTACGTGGTTCGGCAATGTGCCTACATCCACGAGAGCGAGCGGCTGTTCTTTTCCTTATTGAAGTAGGGTTACATCTTAAGTATTTATATAACCCTAATATGGACGTATTTACAAAAATACCCCTGTACCGTACCGCGGGGGCGTTGCTCCCGCACCCCCAACTAATCAGCGTCTCCTTTATATAAATCCCACAAGGCAGATATCGTCACGGGCTTCACCTGCTTCGGCATCTACCTCCTTTCATTATGCACACAGTAAATATGAGCCACACATACTCTAACATCTTTTATCGCCAAAAACTCGAATGCAATCCTTTGAATTTTATCTCTTTCTCTCTTTCTTTCTGCCTTTTCTAAACGTAAATGTAAAATATCAAAAAGCAACTCTGACAAACACAACCATTTTAGGACCCCCAAATCAAGTTCACTAATAGGATGGATGTCTCTCTTTCCTCTTTGTATATTCGTATATATGAAAATTGACAATTATAGTTGTAACATTAAAAAAAATTAAAAGATTTTGATAGTGGTTAATGGACAGTAGGACTCACAAGTCTTAGTTGAACTTCCTCAAGCTGGCCACATCACGAGATTGGAATTTAGACGAACCTTGGAAAATATATCGAAGCCAAAGAAGCATTAGAACGCCCAAACCATAAAGAAAAAGAGTGTCACCGTGCTAGCTTTTCAATAACTAATTCAGTCAATATTAAAGGAGCACTTTTAAATTGTTGTGTTTATATTTCTTAAAAACACAATCTATATGGAAAAGTATATAAGGTCATCAAGAATATTTAATTTTAAAGTCAAGAATAACGAATACATTGTTTTAAACTATTTTATGTATTTTAATATTTCCCTTTAATTTATATAGATTTCTTATAACTAGAACACAGCTTTAATTTAGACTTACCATGATACCAAATATTTATTAATTTCTTATTCATAATCCACAAAAGTAAAAGAATAAAAATAAAAAATAAAAAAATCATATTGTAACTCACGTTATGCACGTGTATAGAATCTAGTACTATAAAAAGAAAACAAATTGCACAACCCATTTAAATAACACATTGCCACCATAAACGTGCCCTGTGGCATTGCATTCATGCATACTAACGACTGAACATAATGCCATAATAAATTCATTTGTTCAATTATAGGTCATGATGATACAAAATAATCACATACACGAATTTACTCAATCACACACAGTGGCATGTCAAAAATGATAAATCACGTGGACAATATTGAATAGATCAATGGCACAGAATGTGTCATAGTGACAATTATACCAATGAAACAAAAACGAAACATGAACAACAATGATAAAACTAGCCATTAAAACACAGAAACACATGGTGCCACAGTGACAGGCGAAAAACATAGTAACACACATAAATAAAAAGTATTAAAAACATGTATATAAATGAAAATGACATATTGATACTTGATAGTCACAGTCACAAGTGATAAAAAAAATACACATTATTGACTGCAATTTGATCACACTTGAAAAACCAGAGTGACAAGTCAAAGTCGAATTGAACCAATTTTGATTAATATGTTTGATTTTGGAACTTAGCACAAAATTAAACCCAATTATTGGTTCAATTTAGCTTATATTAGTATCAAACTCTATTTCTATTCGAGTTTAACCCGAATTAGAACCCAAATTATGTAGCTCAAGTTCAAAAAATTTAATCACAAGTTGGGTTAGGGTTGAAGTCACTATGATTGAGACTCGAGTTGGGTTGGTCTCAAATTGAAGGTTCCATATATCCAAAGCCGCTCAAATTGCACCCCAATTAGAAACCAGTCAAATTTGTACATTCCTAAACAAATTAATTGTAACGTTTCATACACGTTTATGCATACCTCATCTCTAGATCTACATGAGCAATCTGGTCAACGATCTTGCCTTCTATCCTCATTCAAGCCATGCTCTTCTTAAAAGGCATCACATTGCACATGTAAGCCCTCATATATTTATTATAAAGTATATTAGATTATCATGTATTGCATGTTTGTAAAATGATAATAGATAATCTGAGTTTTTTAGAAGTTTGGAAGTGTTTTGAATATTAGATGCATGACGGAGAGAATTTGTTTAGAAAAAAATTAGACACTATTTTAGTATTTTAGTCATAACTTTTTACGCTGGTATTAGATTGATTTGATTTATGGGTATTAGAAACTAAACTTTAAGGGCTACAAAAGTGTGTCTCATAAACATTTCATGAATCGACTTCTAACTGTATCAAAACTGCCTAGAAAGTGTAGGTAGAAATTGGATTCACACTCAAACTCCCACTCATGTTTGAACACAATTTAACTATAATAGTTTAGGTCTAATAGACAAACTTGACAGAAAATGAGATATTGGGAGTAGAGTACGTTCGAATGTCATTCAAGTTCTAATGTGAGTGCGTGTTTAGCAATGATTAGGATCGCACTTATTGATAATTTTTACCCTTTAAATATCCTAAAGATGTTCCTTAAGTCAATTTTCAACAGTTTGCAACCCTAGATGGCTAAGGAGAGTTGGGAGAACATAAAAAGGAGAGATTTCAAAGGGTTTACTTGTGGAAATCACAACCAAACACATTAAAAGCAAGATATACGGAGATTAAGGTAGGGATTCTTTCTCAAATTCACTCATTGAGGGTTAGGGTTACTTATATATGTTTTGATTCCAATTTAATTAAATATGTTAGATCTATAATATTTTTACACATTTTTTTGATAATATGATTCGTTTCTTGGAAGAATTACATGTTTTATATTACAAATAGCATGTTCTTGATAGAAAGCCTAAATTTTGATTATTGTTAGCTTCAATGTTTTCTTTTACAGTCTCTAGTATGATTTGATTGAATTACTCTTGGTCTTTGAGAATGGTGGAATTCTGAATGTTAGAAAACGTAAGTTTTTTATGGAAGCATATCTCTTATGATGGGATTGATGAACTATGATTACATGTGAACCGTTATCACAGAGTGTTTAGACGTGTTTCTTATCTTGAGAAGTTCGAAAGTTTTCTATCACTTGTAGTGGGGTTGGTGCCTTGCGGATAGAGATGACAGTGGACTAGGTAAAAATTGGTATTCGTCCAATCTCGTCCTATTTGGACTGAGGATGGATCATGTATTGGATGGTTGACGTATACAGAGATACCTGTATAAACTCGTACAGGGATAAAGGCGAGGATGGACTGATACGTATCCCCTCCTCCGCTCTGGTTTAACCTTTATTGAATGACTTTTTCTTTTGAAAAACTGTTTTTTTTTTTAATTTTTTTTTTATGGTTTTGACTTACAAAAGTGTAGATATTTGAGTTTTTATATTTTTTCATGCTGGATTTTGTTATGTTACACCATATTGTGTTGCATAATATTGTATTGGATTTACAAGAGAGCCAAACTTTTAATTATATAATGTTGGATTATGTTGTAGTCAAGGTTTTAATTATATTATGTTGTAAATGACAAGTTTTTAATTATGTTATGATATTCTATAATTATGTTGCATTATTTAGAATGTTTAATTTATTTAGAATTTTACATTATGTTGGTTTGGGGCTTAGGCAGGTAAGGTGGACGGGAGTGGGGACAGCGGTGAAGGTGGGGGATGAGGCGGGGGGGGGGATTACAAATTTACCCGCAAACGGGGATGAGAATGAAAATTATACTCGTTAACAGAGTGGATCGGGGATGGGTGAAAATGTTTTGAAAGGGTACAGGGATGGAGACTAAACCCCCCTGCCCCCGCTTCGGTCCACTGCCTTCCCTACTTGCGAGGCCCAAACTGTTTCGAGCCACTACCTACCATACCTGCAAGGCCCAAACCACTATTCGTTTCACTAGAGACCGAGGCTGAGGGTTTATAAGTATATACCCTTCCTGAACTGTATGATCTTGCGGGGTGTTGTGTTTTAGAAGATAGATTTTTGTGGGCAGATATATTCGTGTGGTGAAGTCTTGTTTATTCAGCCTGTGTTAATGAGATATTGCTTTATGAGATATTTTTTAGGAATGATTCTATGTTGATCGAAGTTTTAAATTTCCAATTGCGTAAACTTAAGATCGTTACTTGACACTGTTTTAATTCAAAATTATATATTTTATTTTAGAAGCTGTAACATACTTTTTTTTTAAGATATCTAAACATTGCTTGGATTTGAGAAAGTTTTTCTATTGAGCTTGTTTGTTCATCCTACAATATAATCATATTTTTAGATTTTGATTTTGAAGATGACATAACCCTAGGTGAGCAGACTGATTGTGATACTGAAGCGGATCATGATGCAACAGTTTCAGATTACTATGCTACGTGGTCCTGATATATTTCATGGTTTCTCTTGATGGGATAAATCATTGATGTTAGAAGGTATGAAAAATTTGGGCATGTCACTCAAAAAGATTGAGATCTAGTTGTACTTAATGAGCTCAAAGTTACTAATAAATGTGGTTCAATTATTTTAGTCAAACGTAAAGAGTTAGGATCAAATCCAAGTTTTTTAAATCCATGGTATAATGATCTCATCAAATCGTAAGTTGACTTTTGATAAATTATTGCCAAAAAAAAAAAAAATTGAGGCGACAATAAATAAATTTAGTATCAATCAATAGAGACGTTTTTGGATGTCACACCTTCCCCCGCAATGCATGTGCATGGAAGGTACAATGATTCAACTGGACTGAAATTGTGCTGTTGTTGCCAAAAATAACAAGATATTTTTCATATTGGGTTTTTTTTTGTAGGGTATAAAATATAATCATGATAACATGGGCAGCGGTGCCTATATGCTCAGGCGTCTCTTCTCCTTGATCTTCTTAAATTATTTTCATTGTCGATGAATGATATATTTATCAAAAATTTTTAACAATAAATGATATAATATTATCTCTATTATTGAAACTTATTTATTTGATATTAAAAATTATGTCACATCATTTGAGAATGATTTTTGGTATACCCGTCTCAATCTAGACATAGAGAGATTTGAGTCTCGTACAATTAGGTCCAGTTGTATCAAAATTGACTGATACATTGAACAATTGTGTGTACATGTGTGTGCGTGTTAGAGAGAGAGGGAGAGCATTGATTTTCTAGTTGCACTGTCCTATTTGTCGAATAACCTACTAATATACACAAGAAATCAACAACACAAGCTAAGACATTGTCATCTAGTATTCCTCTTCAATCTCCTTCTCAGCTATTGAAGACAGTCACAGAGGAGAAGAAGGTGAAGAGAAAGAAGAATCAACAGAAGAAAAAGAAGTAGAAGAATCAAAGCAAGAAGCACCAGAAATGCCAACAACCAAATCAAAAAAAGCTCCAACAATAAACCCATGATTCATCTTCCCATTCATCCTCAAGTACCATCCCAACAACTCCTCCAAACACTCCCAATCTCTCAACCCATGACTCTCCACCATCTCCTCCATTGACCTCTTGAAATCCTTATAAGGATCCTCCGACTCCATAGCCATCGCTACACTCCCCTCAAATGGGAGCCCACCTGCTTTTGCATCGATCAAGATAGAACTCGTGTCATCGGGCTCGAAAAACAGCCTCTCTGATCGAACCCCGCTTATAATCGTTTCCAAAGGCACCTCTTCAGAGTAATGTTCAGACTCATTTGAAAAGCTCGCAGACTTTGAGGACTTTGTGAAGTAAGACTCTGGTGTTTCAACCGCATCAGAAGGGCCAAAGAAGATTGAGTTAACCGTCTTGAACATGTCATTGCCAGCTCGGAAAGAATGGGTCTTGGGGTGCCTGCATGATGGCCATTCCCATGGAAGCTTCATTTTCTTGCCCATTTGAGCTGAATCACCAATTGTGGAGTTGGTTTTCAATCACTGTGTGTATATGTCACTTATGAAAGAGAGAGAGAGAGAGTTTGTGTGTCTCCTTGGAGAAGGTATTAATGGTGATCAGAGGAATAGGATGAGGGGGGATATAAAGGAGAGGTGGGAGGAAGGTGGCAAGGAACAGGTAGGACCTTTCTTGAGTGTATTTAATGGGAGGTCTGAAGAATTCAATGATCATGGCAGTACTTTTGTCAACAAGAGTTGTCTAATGTAGGTTATTAGCTCATGATATTTTATACTAGACATATGTCCGTACCCGTGTTTAAAGATGCTATGTAACAAAAAAAATATAATTGACTATACAATCATATGTTTACTTCAAGACCTCAATTATACTAATTTACCAATTAGTAGAGGAGAATACTCTCTGTGCTAGTGGCTTTCTTCTTAAAGATCATTCATATGTGTTAGGATTCTGGTTAGTAACCTTCAGATAGCTACATATTAAGTATATAATCATGTAAAATTTGAAAGAAAAAGCCCAAACAATACGGAAGTTTGTCATTTTATTCAAAAACTAACCACACTACTAAAAAACCAAATTCCAAATATTAAACCATGTGAAAATAATAAAAGCTAACTCTATTTTCAAAAAAACAAAATAAGATACTGTGCAAAGAAACTAACAAGATATCCTTAAATCCAACCAACTTAAAAAAGAATTATTTATCAAATCCAAATTGTATCATTCAACAATCATTTGAAGAAATTCAAAATTGAAAAATTAAATAAAACCGCAGCACATTTTCAATTAACCCATAACCAACCCAACACACACACACACACACATATATATATCCCCAATAACCCAATAATTGAATAATTGGAGGCCTAAAACCAGATCAAAAAGAATTCATACATTAGAAATGAACCCAACAGAAATCATAGACTTTTGGCATTTACGATAAGGGATATTCATGCATTAGAAAGGAAATCAAAAAACACAAATACTCAACAGCTACAACAAATGAACCTAAGAAAATTTGAAATATTGAGATGGTTTACCACAACACGCTCATTATGTACTGAAAAATTTTCACAGGTCGAGTAGAAATTTCTCCTTTTCATCAAGTAGAAGTTTGAACCCTTCAAATTTAACCAAAAAAAAAAATGAAATTTTTGAGGTGCAATGAAGATTGAGTATCTTTTCTAAGCCAACAGTGTTGTGTTTCTGATAGGAACTTAACCATTTCTAAACCATCGTTGTACCTAATCACCTCAATCCGAATAAGCTGCATCAACACAGAGAGTGCTTAACGCACTTATGAGCAAAGTTCATTTCGTGGTAAACCATCAAAGCTTATGCTTGCTCATGGTATAGATGACCCATCGCATAAAATACCTTACTTGCATTGGCATGCATCTTCCCGAAAGGAAGAATACCAAATTTAGACGTATTATTCTCTGGTCTATAAACAGTTATACTAACTAATAGCATACTCATGTTACGACTAACCAAAACAATAGGTTCAAGAAATACATGGATCAAGTTTACTGTAGAGCATCTACATACAGTACATCTATAACAACTTAGCTAACTTACAAACAAAACATAGATACTGGTCGCTAGGGCAGAAAATCCATCAGTTGTCATGAAATTCCCTATAGATGATCAGCTTTATTTCCAAATTACCCAAAGGGCCATGCAATTACCCAAAGGGCCATGCACTCTTGTGATCCTTCTCACAACTGCAATGTGTTGAGACTAGCAATTATTTGTTTGATACTACTTCAAATAAATAATTTGCAAGATAAAAAGGGGAAAAAAACTTACTAAGGCTCATTACTCGGTACTTGTAAGTTTTTGACCAACTTGGTTGGGTACATTTGAGTTTCAAATTTCATCAATTGTTTCCATTTTTTCTTCTTAAGTTTGGTATCAGGGAGTCATTCTAACTAAATATCAATTGTTTCCATTTTTTCTTCTTAAGTTTGGTATCAGGGAGTCATTCTAACTAAATACTACATGGGCTCATTACCACAATACAAATCTCGAAGGCACACAATATAATGCAAATATGTTTTCAAAATAAATATTAATTCCCCCGTCCCATAGTTGGTTACCAAGAGTCCAGCAAGTTGACTTTTTAATAAACATATTTAGGTGCGGAGTAATGTTATGTTTACCAATTTTTTTTATCGAATCTATATTCTAAATGATGTGATACAGTTTTTTATCATCAGATGAGTGAGTCTCATTAATGTTTAATGACGGAGGTTATTCTACATCATTTCAAATGAAAGATTTAATAAGTATAGCATTTTCTCTAGGTGAGACATGTGTACCCTTGCAAGTATATTATTGCTAAGGGACAATTCCATTCTCATAATTATTTTTGCGTTGTCATGCACATTGGCTCCCATTTTTATGGTACAATAACTCATCTCCATCCCAAGAAAGACAACATTGTGGGCCCTTTAACTGTTTAACTAATCAATTCATGCCGAAGAACCTTGTAGGCGATGCCAGTTGATACCTTGTGGGTGATGCCAGTAGATTGGGGCCCTAGTATCATACAACAAACATACTGAAGAACCTTGTGGATGATGCCAGTGGATGGGGGCCCTATTATCGTACAACAAACATGATGTAGACCAAATCCTTGGCCTATTTGGTGAATCAACAAGATTGGTGGAAGTCTGTGCACACAGGCTATGTACTAGACAAACTACATGTGCCCAGTTCATCTAATATAATACAACTGCTACTGTCAAGAGTTTTGGAGCTTTTTTTTTTCCAATTGTGTGTAACACTGTTACCTTATTGGTGAGGATTGCATCAGCAATTAATCAAAATCCCAAAGTCATAAAGCCCAGAGGGTGAAACATACATATATACTCCGACGAAATATTGAACTGGTTGCTGCTTGATGTTTGTTGCTGCTGCGTTGTTGATGCTGATTTTTGCTAATGCAAATGCCTTGCTATGCTGATTTTCTCTTGCCGTACTTGGTCTGATCTTGCATATCAATGGTGTTAAGGGGCAGAATTGGTTTTATGCTCTGTTTTTTATCTACCAATGTATTCTTGTTATCAATTCTGTGGGAGATGCTCTTACTCAAGGCATCTCTTACAGAATTGTGTTTTGAGCCTCGGTTTGGTGGAAGTCAACAATTTTCTTTAATAAACTGTTTCTCATCCATTTGCTAGTGTGATTAACGCATCTCCTTCTGTAGAATCTTGAGATATTTGACTCATCTCCATAGGTTTCTGAAGAGACAAATGGGCATCTATATGAACTGGTTTGTCTCCTCTCTACCACCATTCATGACTTGGTGCAGGTATCAACAGACTATGCACCTGCTACCTTGACCTTGTACGATTGGTAGTTTAATCATAGCTTTTTAGGTGATTTATTTTTGGATAAACTCCATTTATTACGTGGATTATGAAACTCACCCACCATTCAAAATGTCAGATTCAGGAAATCAATAGGAACAGTCCTCACTAAACTAATGAAGGGTGAGTTTGGTTGGGTTATTAAAGGGTTACATTGGACTAAATTAATCTAATTAATGATGACTTAATAAGGCTCGGGAGTTTGTCAGTATACTAAACTGTCATCTGACACCACATACTTGGTATAAATCAATATCGTATAACATGTGATAATTAATATAGATGAGACATGATTGGTATTAATAACAAAAATGACAAAGAGTATCCCTATAGACGATGGTGTTATGCTATAATACAATGTACTTTGGTCTTTTTTAACTTAATACTGTTCTGGAATCCCTCATCCAAACGTGAGGAGAACACTTGTTTTGTATAACTATGATCCACCAAGTTTAGGGGTGGTCGATTGGCCTCATTGATTCTGGGAGCCCCTATTTTTCATTTAGGCACTTGTTCTAATCCAATTCCTAAGTGCTTCAAGCATTAGTATTATTTCCCAAATAAGAGGGGTCTACCTAATTGTTATTTGACCAAATTTTAGGGAAGGTGGACGTAATTTATCTAAATTAAAAATGGTTTTAGAGCCGGCCTGACATAAATTGGGGCCTAGGCGAGAATTTATGCTATTTATATCAAGATTCATTATCTTTTAGTTGACATTTCCGAAATTAAAAAAATACTTCCTAATAAAATAAATATTTAATGCTACAAATGATTATACTGTGTAAGAATTATTATTTTATGAAATTGAAGAAAATGTAAACATTAGTATAAATAAATGATGAAAACGGGTAACTTTTAATTGTAAATGAGCTTTCTTTGTCTATCAAATCACATAATCGCTATCTTATTATTAATTTTGAAGGGAATAGCACATTAATATAAAGAGAGAAACGGTAGGTATGGTGTAGGCTAATTAAATATAGTATTCCTATATTAGTGCAAGATTGATAACTATATAAATGAAACGGTTATCAATGGAAAGAGAGAGGGGGGTTGGCTGTAAAAAGTTGTTTTGGCTTTAATGGAATAAATGAGTTTTGAGAATTAATTTCACATATCTTAATGGTCTTTTTATATGTTAAATATTATGGGTATTTATTTGACAATCGGGGGCTCTAGGCAGCCATTGCCGGCCCTATATATAGCTCCGTATAATATTGAAACTCACAATTAATATAATGACTCCAATAAATTATGTCGTTGAATTAAATTCTCAAATTAAGTCTCTGAAGCATTGCTCATAGATAATATAAATGATTAGTTTTATTATAACCAATTACAAAAATTCAAGATTGAGGCATTGCATATGTTTCCCTTTTCTTATAGTCTATTTGGTAGGGTGGATGATAAAATGAAAAGATAAAAAATTGGAGCGATATATTTTTCATTATTTAAGGGAGAAATCATTTCTTCCCTCCTTAGTGTTTGGTAAAATAGATGAAAAATATAAATGATTGATTTTTTTTTGTGTTTGGTAAGATAGAAAAAAAAATTATTTTTTATATTATTTATAGAACAAGTATAAATACATATTTTATCATTGATTTGGACGAAATTCAAGCCGTAGGCTTCCAAGGCCCAGAAGCCTGGCAGGCCCAAAAGGCCAAGACTAGAAGAAAAGGACCCAACATCAGCAGTACGCTTATAA